AACTGAGCAGGGGTAGGAGAGGACTTCACATAGAAAGAAGTTGATTTTGATGCAAAAGGACTACCAGAAGGTTGAAATTTCTCTTTGACTCTCATCATGAAGAAGAATAAAATATGCTTTTTCTAGGGTTGGTACAAGACACATCATAAGGATGTTGCTTCTAGCATTGGAGTAGGTATCATTCAACCCTGTGAGGAAATGGATGAGTTTCTGACCATCACTGCACTGTGGCTCAGCTCCACAAGTGCAAGCTGTCCCAAAAGAAGTTATTTTCAGCTCATCCCATAGTTTTCTAAGTTTGGTGTAATAACTAGCAGTATTAGATGAACCCTGAGAGACCCCTGCAATTTTTCTCTGAATCTGATAGTACCTACTAGCAGTAGACTGCTCATATCTTTCCTCTATGTCTCTTCATAGGTCCCTAGCAGTGTCACAATGTAAAACACTATCGACAATGTCTTTGGACAGAGCATTGCTGAGCCAAGAAAAGACAATATCATTACACCTAACCCAGTAGTCATAGAGAGGATAATTAGGTGGAGGCTGAAAAATCCTACCATTAATCATACCAGCCTTATTTTTAGTAGACAATGCAATTAGTATATTTTTTCTCCATGATGTGTGTCATGTTCCTGATAAAGGAACATAAACCAACAGAACACCTGGATTGTCTGATGGATGAACATAGAGAGGATGTGAGGAGTCGATAATCGTGGAAGAGGATTCAAGGACAATAGGAGAAGAGATTGATTCCGTACCTATGACTTTGGCAACACACGAATCGGTACAAACAGAAATCGATTTCACACAACAATAATAGTATAAATTTCAACCAGAATCAAAACATGCAAGAGATCTACAACTCAAAAATATGCTCGTCAATTAGGTCACGAATGATATAGACTAAATGAGTGTACAAATCATACCGTATCTTCTTCAAAATACTCGAAGGAGTAAAGACTTGTTTATCAAACGTAGAAAGTGCTGATGTTTTCCTCAAAGACGTCGCCGGAAAAGCTCAGAATCTCATCAAAAACTCGCAAAACAACCCTTGTCGAAAATACCCCAAAAACCTTCAAAATTGGAAAAAGTGAACCGATAGGATGAACAACCTCATCGAGTACTTCAAAAATCGTCGCTCTGATACCATGTTAACTGATGAAATTAGAATGAATTTGATGGAATGAATCGAAGAAAACTCTAGGTTCTAATCGGTGGAGAGAGACCATCGGGTAAATAAAAGAGAAAATTGATTCATTGATTTTTCTGTATAACAATAATAAAATCGGACATGGGTCGGGTCCCAGTATAAAGGGAAAAAAAATATATCGGCCCAGCTATACAAACAGGCCCAACTATAAAGTCCAACTAGAAATCTATCCTTGATTAGCAACAGTCACAATTCTATCAATTCTTTTGAGATACTCTTCTTCAAGTGGTCATTCTTTCTTTCAGCATTTTCCTCCTCGTGCTCGAGAAGCTAACCTAGAAGCTTTAGATTTTTGATTGTCAAACCCCGATTTAGTTGGGATACGGTTTGGTGCACTCCTGATTTTCTACGATGTTTTGATAATTGTACAAGAACATTCTGCTTTTTAACAAGCAAATTTTTTTCAATTTTAACAAGCAAGTCTTTAATTTTTTGTTCTCTCAAAATGTTGTTGCATCGTGAAAAGAATCCCTTCCATATCTACCGACTAAAGCCTTCAATGCAAGTAGAGACACTGTCACAGACTTACAAAAGGCAGCCCTTAATTTGTCTTTATTACGCTTTCTTTGTGGGTCTTACTTAGCGTTAGAAAACTAATTTAAAGTTGGAGAAGGAAAAGATTTGGTATTTGTTAATTTATTTAGTTCATGTTTAAATTGGATTTGTAGTCGATTTAATATAGGAATAAATTTTTCAATTTTTAGTCAAAATAGGTTCCATACTATTATAGTCATAGGTCTTTGTATCCTTTAAATTAGTATCAAAAGCCCCCAAAACCAATACACATTGATTAACCTCTATTGCATAAACAATGAGGAAAGGCACAAAGAGAGAGGCTACAGAAGTTGGAGGAAAAGACAAGTCCAACGAGGAGGAGCCGCCCCAAGCACAAGCCCATTCAGCTGCTGAGCAAAGCAAATCTGTTCACAAAATTGCTAAGCGTGAGACAGAGTACTTTCCTGATAAGCGTAATTTGAAAAATCTATGGCAAGAAGTTTTTCCTGTTGGCACAGAGTGGGATCATATATACATGATTTACCAATATACGTGGAATTTCTCCAATCTCGAAGACGCATTTGAACAAGGCGGAGAATTGCATGGCGAGAAAGTCTATCTTTTCGGTTGTACTGAACAACAACTGGTTTATTTTCAGGGCCAATCAAAAGTCATTTGTATACCTGTTGTATCTCCATTTCCACGAGTTTTTGACCAATAGTGTCCCTTATCTTTGAGGGTAGGTCTATTTTGGTCCCTCAAATATAACCCCGAGCATATTAGTCCCTTAAGTATGCTAAAATGGAGCACCTTTAGTCTCACTGACACAATATGTTCAAAAACTATCGGTGTTACCCAACGCTGATTCATGAAGCAAATCTTCTGCTCTGAAGCAAAATATTTTCTCTCTTTTTTTGGATAACGCAAATTATCACTTTAATTCTTCATTTTTAGATAATGTCTTCTAAAATTTTGACCTTGAAAATATCCCCTTATGTGCCAGTTTTCAATAAGAAAATGATATTGTATAGCCGCTGTAAAAATAATAGCCGAAAAATATATAAAATTTATATATTTCTTTTGTATATATATACATTTAAAATTTTCGGTTGATTTTCCAAAAAGAAAAGTTAAAATTTGAAAAAAAATAGAGCTGCCAGGAGCACTTCTAGGCATGTTATTGAAGCAAACGAATAACCAGGTTGTATTATCACTTTTAGCTCGTCCCAGGAACTATTTACATCTGGTAGCAGAAAAAGTTTTCTCATTGAAAACTGGCACATAAGGGGATATTTTTAAGGTTAAAATTTTAGAAGACATTATCTAAAAATGAGGAATTGAAGTGATAATTTGCGTTATCCAATAAAAGGAGAGGAAACGTTTTTGCTTCAGAGCAGAAGATTTGCTTCATGAATCAGAGTTGAGTAACACCGTTAGTTTTTTAACACATTGTGTTAGTGAAACTAAAGGTGCTCCACTTTAGCATACTTAAGGGACTAAATATACTCAGGACTATATTTGAGGGACCAAAATAGACATAACTCAAAGATAAGGGATAATATTGACCAAAAAATCTCCCATTTCCACCTTCTGATAAAATTGGAATAAACTCAGTACAAAGAGAAGCTGAAGAGATACTACCAATGAAACTGATGAAGATGGACTGGTTTCCATACATTCCTTTAGAAAAATGGAAATCTCAAGTTGAAAGACTCAAATCCCAAATTTATATTCTGAGGTGTACTCAAAGAAGAGCTGGTTTAAAACACTTGAAATTGGAGCGAGTGAAGAAGTTTGAATACTGTTTACCTTATTTCTATCAACCATTCTCAGGTCGAACAAAGCACCGTTGTACATATCTTATTCCCAACCGAACCGCCTGTATTTTGCGAGTTTGATTGGGAATTTGACGAGCCAAAGGAAATGGCAAACCAACTTATTGAGGCAGAGGAGTTGGCTGCAGATAAAAAAGATGAATTTGTGAAATTTGTAGAGGAGAAAGTTGAAGAAGGAAAGAAGAATAATCGAGAGGCGAGAAAAGCCAGGAAAAAAGCTATAGAGGAAATGAGTGAAGAAGAGAAAGCTGCATCTCAGAGTATGAAATTCTATAAATTTTATCCTGTGTCCTCCTCAACTAATGCTCCTGATGTATCTCAGGTCAAATCTCCATTCATAAACATATACTACGGGAAGGCTCACAAAATTTTCTAAAAGATTTTGAATGAAATACATTATTTCGTAGCAAAGATTTGTAATCTCGTATAATGACTTTAGACAGTTTTCATGGTATGTTCATGTCAATTTTATTTTTAGTTAAAAAGCATTCTATTGTTAAAATGGGCACGTTCAATTTTCAACCATCTCTATTTGATTGCCATTTTTTTAACCACAAATAATGTTGCACTTTTTTTTCTTATTTTTGGTTCAGTAAGTTGTATCCAGGCTGGTACCCCCTTCCCCGTATACTTAAATGCGGAATGCTTTGTGCACTGGACTATCTTGGTTCAGTATTCTGGTTTATATAAAATTTAGTTATGTTGCCACATTGAAATTAAATCTTTGATGACACTCAAAATTTAAAGCAATTTGAGATATATGATCGGAGAAACTCGAAAAATATTTTTAGCATCTTAAAACTCGGGGTTAATAACCTAGATCACGAATAAAGAGAGTAATAAAAAAGGAAACAAGCTACACAGAAAGACAAACGAAATCAAACGTCAAGGATTTGGAGACTCTATTTCCGGGCTGAAAAATAATTTAGTTCTTCTTTCTTAGCCTAATTAAATTATATGTACGCTATAATTAAGTGGTTAGGATTTGCCTCTATTTTATTACCATATCTAGATTTTTCTATTATGATAGTGTAAAATATCTACCATAATTAAATTTACTTTTCCCAAAAGAAAAATATATGTCTTCCATGTTGAAAGATTCTCTCTCGTTGAGGATCCCCGTTTCATATTAAACACAATAACATCCACAATTTAGTTATTAAAAGTCTTGTTCATAATATAATCTTTTGATATATTTCTATTTTGGTCATCCGATTTTAATTTACTCGTCTCATGATTATTATTAGTGCTATTTCTTCGATGCATTCTTATAATTACTTTTTAGTTTAAGATTTTAACGTGAACTAGAATTCCAGAAAACACTACACAAGAGTTTTCATGCCCTGTAAGCAAGCATATCTCATGGGAAAGAAAGAAAAGTTTTGGCTAATACAAAGTCTAAACCTACATTAACGCAAAGCCCGCCTTATTTTACCTCCTAATTTATCGTCACATTGGCCATTTGTGATTCTCTTCCCCTTAATCTCTTTCCCTTTCCTTTAATTTTCTCTTCCTTTCCAATACCATAATTGATCCAAAACCACGTCATGCAAACACAAACACAAACTTAAACTTACATTTAATATGGGAATTTACAACATTAAATGTTTCCCAACTGCAGCATCTCATAACTGAAATTTCATCCAAAAATGTGCTTCAAACCTGAAAGATTAGAGGAACATCAATAACATAGAAGTTTCATATTAATCATCTAACAAAAGCATGGATCAACTTTCTTCATCTCTCAAGAAATCATTTAAACCTCATAGTTCCTATAAACATACCAAAAAGGTATCCGTTCCACATGATATCGAGAACCAACCTATCCTCTCTCATCAAAGCCCCGATACACCATATTCTGCTTCTTCGTCCGTCAATTCTTCCTCGTTGACAACAAGATCCTCCATTGATCTTAATGATCGTCGTGAAGTCATTGTCAAGATTGATGGTGGAGAAAAAATGACCACTCGGGATGGAAGTGAACGTAACATGTTATGGCACGAGCCGAGTTATGAATTTTGGAGAGAGGATATGATGAATAGCGGGCCTCAAAACAATGGCCCGACAATCCAACGTGGCATTAAAGACATGCCCGAAGATCCACCCTCGAAATTAATCGGACAGTTCTTGAATAAACAGAGAGCTGTTGGATGTGAAATGACATTGGACATGGACTTGGAAATGGATGAGCTGAGGAATCATCCAAAACCTGATAATGATAGCGCTGCTGGATCCAGTCCACTAAATTTTCCATCTGTTGACAATAACATGAATAACAACATAAATAATCATCGTTATACAACGTCAAAGGATCTAAGAGTTTCATTTCAGGCTCCGTCACCACCTAGTAACGTGGTTGACATCGAGCCTGACCAAGCTTATAATGACAATGAATGTTGCTCGACTGATGAAGGTGAAACTAGCGATGCAACACCCGATGAACCAAAGTATCTTAGCCGAAGAAGGACGATGAACATTAATAATCCTCCAGATGATAGTAATAACAGCAACAATACTTACTACACTCCTAAAACCAATGGTGGTGATAATGATCAGGTGCTAAGGTGCACTTCGTTTCAGAGAAGAGCGAGTGTGTTAGGAAGAGCAAAGACAAAATCAAGACTAATTGATCCGCCCGAGATACCTGAGAGGAGATCAGGAAAAATTGGAAAATCAGGTCAAATAAGATCTGGATTGCTAGGAAGAGCTTCTGGGATGCTAAAGCCACCAGAGGAGGAAGACGATGATCCATTATTCGATGAAGATCTTCCGGATGAATTTAAAAAGGACAAAGTTGATTGTTGGACCCTGTTGCAATGGATAAGTCTTGTTATTATTGTGACAGCTTTAATATGCACACTTGCTATCCCTTTATTGAAGAGGAAAGAATTCAGGGGACTTCATTTGTGGAAATGGGAGGTTTTGGTTCTTGTTTTAATATGTGGGAGATTGTTATCCGGTTGGGTGATTCGGTTAGTTGTGTTCTTCATTGAGAGGAATTTTCTGTTGCGAAAAAGGGTACTATATTTTGTTTATGGTGTTAGAAAGCCTGTTCAGAATTGTCTTTGGTTAGGTCTTGTTTTAATTGCATGGCACTTCATGTTTGACAAGAAAGTTGATGAGAATAATAAGTTTTTGGGGTATATTAATAAATTGATGATATGTATGCTAATTGGGACAATGTTATGGTTAGTGAAAACTCTTATGGTTAAAGTGCTAGCATCTTCATTTCATGTTAGCACTTTCTTTGATCGAATTCAAGAATCGTTGTTCAATCAATATGTGATTGAGACACTATCAGGACCACCTTTGATAGAAATTCATCGATCTCAAGTAGAAGAGGACAGAACATTGGCTGAAGTTTGGAAGCTGCAGAATATTGCAGGGGCACAGTTGCCAGCAGAACTTAGGCCCCCAATTGCTCCTCAATACAGTAGTAATAAGGGCGTAAGTGTTAATGGTGGACAAACGCCAACACCAAAACCATCAAGAACAGTAAGCATTTCGATTTCTGGTATTTCTGGTCCCTTGTCAAAAAATCAAGATGAACAGAACCAAGGGATATCAATTGATCATTTGCATAAATTGAACCCCAAGAATATTTCAGCTTGGAATATGAAGAGATTGATTAAAATAGTAAGGTATGGGGTAATATCTACGCTGGATGAGCAAATACTGGATACCAAAAGAGAGGATGAGTCTACGACGCAGATTAGAAGTGAATATGAGGCCAAAGTTGCAGCCAGGAAGATATTCCGAAACGTTGCCAAGCCTAGATCCAAGTAAGTAATTTCATAAACACTCAGTCAGTCAGGCATATTAGTCCAAATCATTTTCCTAGAACCAGAGGCGGATCTAGGATTTTCTGAACATGGGTGCACCACTAAAAAAAAACGTATTGAGTGGGAATTGATCCTTGTTTCTTAGGGTAAATATCCTAATATTCAACCAAGTAAACCATTCAATCTTTTGGGAATATGAGTGCCAACAGATAATATTAGACTAATTTTAGAAAATACATATATAAAATACCTAGTTTGACGGTGAGACCATGGGTTCACGTGCCCCATAATTGGGGCTATGAATCCGGCCTTGCCTAGAACCAGATAGTGAACTTCTTAGAGGTTGCATTGCTCCCTCTCTTATGCTAATACAAGTAACATAGTGAAATACAACAGAAAAAGGATACTTTTATGTAATTTTCATCTATTTGTGATTCTTCACGTTTGATTCTTGATAATTACCTAGTTTTGTGACAATAAAATTTAACAGTCCCTGAAAAGATTTTCAATTTTGGAATTACTATTGTATAGTGTATGAAGGGAACTTTGGAGCAACAGTAAAGTTGTGTGTAACCTATAGGTCACGGGTTCGAGCTGTGAAATCAGCCGCTAATACTTCACTAGGGTAGGCTGCCTACATCACACCCTTGAGATGCGGCCTTTCCCCGGATCTTGCGTGGATGCGGGATGCTTAGTGCACCGAGCTACCTTCCTTTTTAATTGTATAGTGTATACTTTGGTTTTGTGACCTGGTGTAGTCTGACTTTTATTCTTATAACTTACTGTTCAGATCAATAACACCTTTCCATATTTTATGCTGAGTAGAGAGCATCTAATTTATTATATCTTGTGGTACACCTATTACTCATATCAGAAAGAATCATATACTTAATTAAATAGCAGTCACATGATCATATCACTTCAGTAAAATTTAGTCTAAAACTTTGTTCTTCGGACAGATTCATCTACCTGGACGACCTGAGGTGCTTCTTGCGAGAAGAAGAGGCTTTGAAGAGTATGAATCTTGTGGAAGGATCACCAGACAGAGAAAAGATCAGTAGAGCATCACTCAAGAGCTGGGTGGTAAGAAATGCAAATTATGCAATAACTATTTGTTTCTGCTCATTAATTCTTGATGAAGTTATGCACATACTTTTTTTTCTACATATCTCTTTGTTTGAAATAATAAACTTAGGGGTCGTTTAGTACACGGGATAAGGTAGGATAATAAGGTGTGCGATTAGATTTATCCCATCAAACTTGGGATTATGGGATAAATTAGTGTAGGGATTATAATCCCAGGATTATAGTCCTAGGATAATTTAGTCCGCGTACCAAATGATCCCCTAAATGTTTTCATTTTTCTGTTGAGTTATTATAGGAGTGTGTCTTATGAATCGTCCTAAAATGTTTATAAATGTTGAACTTGTTTTGTAATGGTGGACTTTTTCATAATATTATCAGTGGCCATCTCCCTCTTCCATACTCCTTGCGCCTTATAAATGTTTTCCTTTGAATTGTGTTAGTCTCTTCTTCCACTTACAACAAAGTGGTAGCTAGCCTAATTTAAATTCCAACACTTTATCAATAGTTGTCTATGTCCACGATATCAGACGACTATCCTTGAATTTCTGCAGGTGAATGCATTTAGAGAACGAAGGGCACTTGCATTGACGTTAAATGACACGAAAACAGCTGTGAACAAACTTCATCAGATGGTGAATGTTTTAGTTAGCATCATCATTCTGGTTATCTGCCTTGTAATTTTAGGGATAGCGACCAGCAAGTTCTTGCTCTTCGTCAGCTCTCAGGTTGTTGTTGTGGCATTTGTTTTTGGAAACACTTGCAAAACCATATTTGAATCCATCATCTTCTTATTTGTGATGCATCCATTTGACGTGGGCGACCGTTGTGAGGTTGATGGAGTTCAGGTATATAGCATACTTTCTTGATCCTTTTTCTATTTTGTTATGCATCTACTTGTTTATTCCTTTCTCTTCAAACATAATACTTCGTTTCATCTTTTTTTCAGACTTTGGCTGGATATAGAATCTAAGAAGATATAAAGATTTTTTATGCATATTACAAGAGTAACTTTAAAACTTATACCCTTAAACATGATATTTTTGTGAATATAAGGGGTCGTTTGGTTGCCGGTTAGAGTTATGCAGGTATTAGTTATACATGTATTAGTTATGCAAATATTAGTTATGTATGTATTAGTTATGCAAGAATAAGTAATGCAGAGATTAGTTATGCATGTATTAGTTATGCAGGGATAAGTTATGCAAGGTTGAGTTATGTTGGGATTAGTTATGCGGGAATTAGTTATGCGGTAATTATATAAGGATTAGTAATATAGATGTAATGTGAGTGTTATTTATTATTAGCTTACTTTTATTTATTAAAATTGTTAGTATAGTTTAAATATATATTTTTAAACAAAAAATACAAGTTTGAATAAAGGGTATTCTTGTTATTTTGTGTTTTAAATACAAGTATTACTAATACATGTATAAGTTATTCCACCTTCTACCCTGCATAAATAATACATAGATTCCCTCATAACTTATACATGCATTAGTTATGCGGAAAAGAAAAATATGAACCAAACATTGTATTAACAATGCTGCATTTTATGTGGAAAAGAGGAAAAAACAACCAAACATTGTATAACTTATGCCAATTGCTATGTGGAGATTATTTTTTCCCTTTCTTTTAACCAAACAATGTATAAAGTTATCCTAATTTTAATACATGGATAACTCCTCTCTAACAGGCTACCAAACGACCCCTAAGAGCATGCCACTAAGGGCAAAACAAAAGGTCTAAATTTAAAGGGCTTTTAAATATAGAAAGGTGCCATTTCATTTTGCAACACAACATACCCTGTGTAACCCTACGAGTGGGGTCTGAAGAGAGTAGTGTGTATCCAGATCTTACCTCTACCTTGGGAAGGTAGAGAGGCTTTTTCCAATATACCCTCAGGCTCAAGGAAAGCATTCCAAAGCAAAAGGGGAGTGTGTATGCGAGAGGCTTTTTCCAATATACCCTCAGGCTCAAGGAAAGCATTCCAAAGCAAAAGGGGAGTGTGTATGCGGACCTAAAATGAACTACCATTTCATTTTAAACTTATAAAGTATCATATAAAATGGAACAAAGGGAGTAATAAATATTAGTACTACTTTTTACCATATTTATGTGTTTAGCAAGGTCTGATTTGTATAATTTTTTGTTTTGTGTTTCAGATGATTGTTGAAGAGATGAACATTTTAACTACCGTCTTTCTGAGATTCGACAACCAAAAGATAATGTATCCAAATAGCACTCTTTCAACTCGACCTATTGGCAATTACTACCGTAGTCCTGATATGGGAGACTCCATTGATTTTACTGTCCACATTGCTACACCAGCAGAGAAAATTGCTGCTGTGAAACAAAGAATAACCAGGTATATATCTGTCTTGTCATCCAATATAATCTTTTATCACCTCTGTGAATGCTTTGCAGCAAGTGTGTAGAAAACTTTACATGCATCCTTAATGAACAAAGGACATTAGTGTAGCAGAATTCACAAAAAAGAACGTACCAGCTGCATATGAATTTCATGACATAGTGTCGCGAAAAGGATGCTTGATTGGCCTTTAGATGGATGCCCCTTTCTTTCCCTTTTTAATGTTTTCATTTTTTTTTTGAGAAGGTAACATATTTGTATATTTATATGAAGACTTAACTAAAATTGTGAAGTCACCCATAATTACAAAGTAAGTGCCCATACAAAACTACACAAAAAGGGCTCTTTTCTGCATTGTTCTCTTACAATGAGTCTAAGGCATCTAAAATGGATACACTATCCTCCAAAAGTTTTCCTTTACACCAAAAATAAAAAAGAACTAAACATTTCATCTTTATCTTCTGAATGTTGTTGGATTTCTCTTCAAAGCATCTTTGGTTTCTCTCTTCCCACACTGTCCACCATATACTAGCTGGGACAATTCTCCATCTCTCTTTGTCTCTCGAAAGTGAGCCCTCTTTATTCCAGCTAGCTAGAATATCAAGGATTCTTCCCGGCATTGCCCATGGAATTCCCCTTAGACCGATAAAAATCCTCCATATATGTATAGTGAAGCTGCAATGCAAAAAGAGATGACTAATTGTCTCTGCCTTCTCACCACATAGGTAACACTTAGAGCACATCTGAAATCCTCTTCTTGTTAGGTTGTCATGTGTTAGGACTGCTTCTTTAGCTAATAGCCAAGTAAAAATATCCACCTAGCAAGAAAAGGGAAAAAAGTAAAAACAAGAATGTAAACTAAGAAAGCCGATGAAAAGCTATTTTTTTTTCATTTCTTTTAATCTAGATGGTGTCCGAATCAGTTTGCGCATACTTTGACTATTCCATCAAGTACTTGTTATCTCCCACTAGTACATGTATTGCGTAATTTTGTCTTGGTAGGCAAAGTTATCCAATACACGTGCTGGTGTGGAATAGCAAATACCCGGTGGATAATCGAGGGGCGCTAACACCATTGTTGGATAAAAAAAAGTTATATTAGTTAAAAAAAATTGTATGATAGTGAAAATTAGATGATATTGAGTTATGACTTGACATAATTTTGGTGGCTTGCTATTGCAGTTATATTGAGAGCAAGAAGGACCACTGGTATCCCTCTCCTACAGTTGTACTGATGAACCTGGAAGATCTAAACAGGTTGAAAATGTCTGTATGGATAAGACATAGAATGAACCATCAGGATATGGGAGAAAGGTGGCTCAGAAGAGCTCAGTTGGTTGAGGAGATGGTTAAAATTTTCAAAGAGCTCGACATTGAGTATCGACTGTATCCCATTGACATCAACGTTCGCGGTATGCCTCCCATTACCTCCAACAGGATTCCCTCAACTTGGCCTACAGCTGGGAACTAAGCAAGAAAATCTCATCGGAATTGGCTCGCAGATGCTCCAATTTCCAAAGGGGAGAGCTTCACTTTTGGTGTTCTTTTACTAGTATAGGACATTAAGCCACGGGGTTTTTGGTGTTGCCCTTGATGGCCTCGACATAAGTTGTTTTCCACTTTTAGAAGTAGAGAAGGTTATTATAATTAGCAGTTTTTCCCTTCTAAGTTCTAACATAGGCAGATCAAGGAATTAGGTACAAAGTACCCACTTCATCCAGTTTGTGACAATCAAGGTAAAATTAGTATATATATATATATATATATATAAA